ATCTCAGGAGGAGCAGAGAGATATTTTGTGTATTCTGATAGCTTGGAGGTGTCCATTTACCATGCTAGGCTACAATCCTAGCTTCACTGCTACAGCGCTAGACCTGACGTGCTCAGGTTTCTGCAAACACCATCCATCCCATGGCCAAGCTTTTGGAAATATTCAGTGACCCTGCTCACTGAGAGTTTCTGAACTCTGGTTTTATACCAGTCAACCAGCTGATCACTTCTCCCAGGAGGAACCTGGGTGAATTGTGGTGGTGAATTTCTCCTGGAACTGTAAGTGCTGGATAGGGAGCAGACACAGAGAGGAACTTTGGCTGAGCTGGGGCCCCCTTGAGTTCACAATACCTTCTAGTGACTCAGAAATGTCCACTCTGCAAGTGTTTGTTACTGTTCATGCAATTTTTAACACAGGGAAGAAAGTTAACTGCCTTACCTATTTTGGAGCTATGAAAAATTCTGAGGCTGGTCCTTTACTGAACTCCTTTCTCCAAATATCTTTTCAAAACTCTGTAAAAGCAGTAATTAAGTTATTGGAGAGAGCCTAAATCTGTTTTTTTCTCCTCATAAATTTCTAACTTCTTATTTTCCACTGAGATAGGAGGACTACTGGACAAACTCTTAGTGTTTTGCACTTCTTTGCATGTAGTACAAACTGAAATATGAAGACTTGTTTATAGAAATTTTAAAACAAAGAAAAACAAGGCCAAAATAACCCTACTTTTCTAGATCTCCATTTGATGAAGCCAAGACCTCAGCAACTCTCTTTAATCTATCATTTTAAAAAGTACTTAATTCTGGAAAAAATAATCAAAGATGTTTCATTCCCTTTAATTTAAGAGAAATGTTAGAAAAAGTGATTTAAAATGACTCAAATTGTTCTCCCAGATTCTCTAAATCTCTCTTTCCTCTTACTTCCTTACTTAAAGTGAAACTATAATTTAGAGTCAGATCTTAGTTTATAAAGGGCATACACTATCTTTTCCTTCTACTTGTCCTTTAGTTCTTCCTCTGAAGAACTTCATCCCTAGGCTAAATTATTTAGCTGATAAATTATTTTGTCATTATAAATTTTCCTCAGTGCCTAGGAGTCTCTTTCTTAATAAATACTCTATAGGTGCTCACCAAGCTTCCCCTAGTCTAGGTCAAGAGAGAAGGACACTGGGTTTTTCTCTATTTTTCTCTCATTCATCTCATGAACAAGAGAGAATTGCTCCCATCTGCTCTCCAGAAAACAAGCCTGATTCTTAAGCCCACAATGATGGAGAGGCAAGGAAATTTCAGTTAAAGGTGGGAGAGACAACTAAATCTTGTCACCCAGCAGAACTGATAGCTACTGTGGCAGTTTCTCTGCACTCAGAATTACCCACCTCGATACACACACGTCCCTGGCTGCGCCCCGACCCCAACTTGGACTCTTAATTTAAGATTGGGAGGTTCTGAGGGAATATCATCTACTCTACATCCTCACGAATGCATCTACTAATACCATTCCCACCCCAAGGAAGCAAGTCAGGCACAGTTGAACTTAGAAAGTTTTCAAATCAGAAATCTCTTACTCTAAGCTGAAGTCTCCAAAATCTCATTGAATCAGACTTACAAACGTTCCCGTATAGAAATGACAAATTCTCTTGTCTCATATCATGCCATTTGAAAAAAAAAATAACTTGGATTTCTTAGATAGAATAGATAATAACTTAGTTTGCTACAAAGTTTATGTTAGTTTGCTTCATTATGCTAATAATTGCTATTCATTAGAAATATCAGTAGGTTAAACAACTATTCCTCTCTTTTTTTTCATTTCAAAGGTTTAGTAAAAACAAAACCAGTTGAGAGAGCTGAAGTTACATTCAAATAACACAAAAAATATTTTCAAAGTATATCTTGGTACAAATGTTGATACACTGTACTTAACTAAGAAGAATCCACTTCTGAAAATATTTTTAGTGGTCTGTGAAACATCCTTAAATTTACAAGAATCCTCTTATGTGAAATTGAAGTATTATATTACAGTACTTAATTTCATTTATATGATTATTATTGTGCTGATATTCAAATCAGTATTTTTACTTAAAGAAAAAAGAGCCCATGAGTTATAATATATTCTTAAAGTTTAATTTCTGTTTTCATACCTGAATACCATTTCCAAACCCACATAAAATAGATAATCACAAAGTAAGTTAGTCCTGAGACTTCCTTTTACAAACTGTGTATGTTACAGTGACGTTCAATTTTAAATTCCTCTCCAGAGTTACTTCTCACTAGTCTTGAATTTGATGGATTTAATGATGATGCAATTTTTAAAATGGATGCCAACAACACAGCTTGACCAAAGTCTAGCCAAATAACATTTCCAGCTTAAGGAGTCATTTATAATGTGCGATAAAATTTTTAAATTGAAATACATGTCCTAAATCTGATCTATAACTGGGATACTGTGAACATGTCCTGAAGATGGCAACTTGAACTGACAAACCCTTTGCAGGAAACATTCTGTAGCTCAATATGACTCTGGAGCTTCTGTGGTTCCCTAAACTACCACTCAACCTAGCTTAGAAAGGCTCCTTTAAAAACATTCCATTTCCGTATTGTCTCTATGAAACAGGGGAATGATGGATGACCTCTAAGTGGTCTGATTGACCTCCAGTGTGGGGCCCACCATATTCAGAATTCAGGCACACTTGTAGAAAGTTTTCCCAACAGCTTGGTATTATAACTCCACCATCATGAAGATCTAAAATTGCTAGGTTAAATAAACGGATAATAATAAATACAAGCATCATTTGTATATATTAATTCCTCTCATTTACAAAGAAACAAAAAGTATCTGATTTGTGGGTCACTATTGCTTTGATATCCAGTCTTAATGGCATATTCAGTGATTCCTTAGTATTTGATCAAGTTACTGCACTTAATGGCAAGATGGTATAGGCACTTATGTACACCATGTAAATCTGTCAAAGTTTTCTCTTGTTAGTGAGCTTTAAGGGTAGCACAATAATAAACTTTGTACTATTCAATTATATCATCATCAAGAACATGGCATTGAAAGGACTCATACTTTAAAATCATGCCTCAAATCATACTTTAAAAAACAACCTTGAGAACTTTGTGGTCAAAATCATATCAGTGACTACAAGAGCAGAATAAACAAGTTGTTCTCTGGGATAAATCAGAATGCTGAGCATGGTAACACAGTCTTATTTTAGCCTAGGAGCAATGGAATTCTTTATTTTTTTTCTTTCTGATGAATCTGGTCATAATCTTCCCACTTCTATTAGAAGTAGTCAAAACCCTGGTCGTTTACTCAGCATGATATACAAGTAAATAATCAACTCATATATTGGTGAGACTGTTTTCAAATGCAACCTTTTCTTACTCAGCAAGTATAATAAATTCAGTTTTGTCTTTTATTTCCTTTTGTATTATTATTAACACTTGTTCCATGAAATGCATTTGTCTAGTCAGGCTTTTATGTGCTTGTATTCACCATGTAACAAACAACTTGGAGCACAAAGAAACCTTAGTGATATATGTTGCTCTTAAGCTAGACTCTTAAACCCCTCTGAATTATTATTCAAAAATCATAAAGGTTAATAGCCATGGGATTTTTGTTACAACTAAATGGATAAAAATTGAAGAAATTCTTTGTAAGGTAAAAATGTTTTAAAATGTTAATTCTTATTATAGTATATCAATGCATCTACTATCTTTTTCTTAAATTCCACCATAGAGCAAAAGAAATGTAATGCAGCAGTAACAGACATTCAGAAAACACTTATGAATTTAAAAATGCCTCCTTGTCACTTTTGAAGTAAATCCTATTTTTTGAGACCCCGAAATTCATGAAATTGAAAACAGACATAGCTAAAAAACATAGCTTTTGTAAACTATCAATATAAAAAAAAGTTTTCACTGCCTACATTACCTGCCCACATCATACTGAATGTTGGAGTGGATATATAAATATGCATAAAAGATATTACCTAATCTTATAACATACATTTATTTAAGCAGATAAGACCAATGCATACCAAATAATTAAAGAATAATGTAATGCTAAATGATCCAGACTAAAATGCAATGTGAGTTCAAACAAACTTCATAAATGAAATATTAGCATTCCTTGGCAACAACAATTTCTTTTAAAACAGGGGAATTGCAGTAAGAAAGAAACTGTCCAGATTAAAAGAAATAAGTTCTAAATCAGACTGAAGGTGTTAAGAGCAAAAGTGATTCTGAAATTCATTTACATACTATAGGAGACTACACTCTCATAGTTCATTTTATAATTATTTTATGTCTAATAATCTTTACTATATCTAACGTATCTTTGAGGAAGAAAATCGTACTGATTTGATGAATAAAAGTTTGATTAAACAAGTAAAAAATATTAGAGGTTAACAGTATGATGTAACCACCTTCTAGTAGACAAGTTTCAATAGCATTTAAGTTTCTCAAAACTAAAAAACCATCTGTGAAAATAAATTATAGACAGCATGGCCTCTTATCACTTAAAGCAGTAAACATTCTTAGGTTACAAGTTAGAAGAAAATATGTTTTATTTAATTAATATAATTAGAAAGATTTACAAATATGTATATTTCTTAAACACACATGAAGAATGTATAAATGTTGACCTTTAGCATCATATAAGCTACGATGTATATTTCTAATAAAAGGAAGACAAAATTTTAAAAACTTTAGAAGTATACTTAGAAATTTTAATTATACTCTTAACTAATTAATTTAAATAATGTACAATAAAGGGAATTAGACAATTCCTAGAAATGAAAGAAAATACATGTATCAAAATTTGTAGGCTATAGCTTAAATAGTACTTAAGGAGAAATTTATAGCTATAAATTCTTACCTTAGAAAAGAAGAAAAGTCGAAATTTAATAACCTAATTGTCAAAGTTGAAACATTAAAGAAAAACAAAAGTGTTTTTCTAAAGAAAATGAAAGTAATGAGATGATAAAATGAAAGTACTACTTGGTGCTCACTTCAACAGCACACATACTAAAGTTGGAACAATCCTTAAGAAGATTAGCATGGCCCCTGCACAAGGATGACACACAAATTCATGAAGTTGTCCATATTTCTGAACTGCAGGACAAGATGAAACATACTAATATCCATACAATAAGGACACTGGAAGGAGAAGAAGAGTGGCAAGGGAGAGAAAACCTGTTGGAAAAAATAATGATAGAATTTTGCCTGAACTTGATGAGAGAAAAAGTCACACAAGGCCAGGAAGCACAGAGAGTCCCAATCAAAATGAACCCAAAGAGGCTCACTCCAAGACACATCATCATTAAAATGGCAAAGTTCAAAGACAAAGAGAGAATCTTAAAGGCAGCAAGGGAAAAACAGAAAGTTATATACAAGGGAGTCCCAATAAGTCTAGCAGCTGGTTTCTGAACAAAAACACTACAAGCTAAAAGGAAATGGCAAGAACTATTTCAAGTAATGCAAAGAAAAGGCTTGCAACCAAGACTACTCTCTCCAGCAAGGCTCTCGTTTAAAATGGAAGGAAAAGTAAGGAGTTTCCCAGACAAAAGAAGGTTAAAAGAATACACCTCCACCAAACTAGCATTGCAAGACATGTTAAAGGGACTGCTTGAAGAAGATGAAGAAAAAGGGTGAGAGAGAGAGAGAACACAGGCACAAAGGGGAAAAAATGGCAAGGAATAAGTACCTATCAATAATAATCTTAAATGTAAATAGATTAAATGTTCAAGTCAAAAGACATGGGGTAGCTGAATGGGTAAGAAAACATGACCTGCCCATATGCTGCCCTCAAAAGACTCACATCAGAACAAAAGACCAACATAGACTGAAAGTGAAGGGTAGCAAAAAATATTCCAAAAGAATGGACAGGAAAAAAAGCCAAGGTAGCAATCTCATACCACCCAAAAATAGACTTCAAAACAAAAGCCATAAAAAGAGATAGAGAAGGACACTTCATAATACTCAAGGGTAGAATCCATCAAGAAGATATAAACACTATAAACATATATACACCCAAAATAGGAGCACCCAAGTATATATGGAAAATCTTGCAGCACTTCAAGAAAGAAATAGACAATAACACATCTATAGTAGGGGATTTTAACACCCCACAGTCAACAATGGATAGATCTTCCAAAGAATCAACAAGGATATTGTGGCACTGAAGGACACCAAATGGACTTAACAGATACATACAGAAGCTTTCACCCCAAAGAAGCAAAATATACATTTTTTTTCAAATGCACATGGCACATTTTCAAAGATACACCACGTGATTGGACACAAACAAACCTCAACAAATTCGAGAAAATTGAAATCACATCAAACATTTTCTCAGATCACAATAGCTTTAAAGTAGAACCAACCTCAAGGAAAAAACTCAAAAACAGTCAAATTCATGGAGACTAAATAACATGTTATTAAACAATGAATGGGCAAACAACAAGGTCAAGGAAGAAATAAAAAAGTTTCTGGAAACAAATGAAAATGAACACACAATAGCCCCAAACCTGTGGGACACAGTGAAGGCAGTCCTGAGAGGGAAGTACATAGGATCACAGGCCTACCTTAAAAAGATAGAAACTATCCAAATAAACAACCTAATCTTACAACTACAAGAAGCAGAGGAACAAGAACAAACAAAGCCCAGCGTGAATAGAAGGAAGGAAATAATCAAGATCAGGGCAGAATTAAATAACATAGAGACTAAAATAAGAATTCAAAGGATCAATAAATCCAGGAATAGGTTTTTTGAAAAGATAAACAAAATTGGCAAGCCTTTAACTAGTCTCATCAAGAAAAAAAGAGAGAGGACCCAGAAAATCAGAAATGAAAGAGGAGAGCCCTAGCCAGTGTGACTCAGTGGATTGAGTGCCAGCCTGTGAACCAAAGGGTCGCTGGTTCGATTCCCAGTGTAGGGCATGTGCCTGGGTTGCAGGACAAGTGCCCAGTAGGGGGTGCCCAAGATGCAACCACACATTGATGTTTCTCTCCCTTCCTCCCTCCCTTCTCTTCTCTAAAAAGAAATAAATAAATAAAATCTTTAAAGTCTATTTTTAAAGAGAGGAAAGAGGAGAGATTACAACTGCTACCGCAGAAATACAAAGGATTGTAAAAAATTACTATGAACAATTATATACCAAGAAATTTGCAAACCTGGGTGAAATGGACAAATTCCTGCAAACATATAATCTTCCAAAACTAAATCAGGAAGAAGCAGAAAGCCTGAACAGATGGATAACAGCTATAAAATTAAAGCAGTAATCAAAAAACTCATGGCACACAAAACCCTTCAAGCAGACTATTTCACAGGACAATTTTACAAAACATTTAAGGAAGAGCTAATCCTTATCCTTCTCAAACTATTCCAATAAATCCAAAAAGAGAGAAGAGTCCCAAACTCTTTTTATGAGACCAGCATCATCCTAATCCCAAATCAGAAAAAGACACAACAGAGAAAGAAAACTACAGGCCAATATTGCTGATGAACATAGATGCTAAAATCCTTGACAAAATATTGGCAAACCGCATCCCGCAATACATTAAAAAGATCACCCAAAATGATCAAGTGGGATTCCTCCCAGGGATGCAAGGATGGTAGAATATTCAAAAATTAATAAATGTAATACATCACATAAACAAAAGGAAAGAAAAAATTCACATGATCATATCAATATATGCAGAAAAAGCAGTTGATAAAGTACAGTACCCATTTATGATAAAAACACTCAGCAAAGTGGGAGTAGAGGGAGCACACCTCCACATAATAAAAGCCATATACAAGGAACCTACAGCCAACATCATACTCAACAGGCAAACACTAAAAGCCCCCTAAGATCATGAACAAGACAAGGGTGTGTCATTGTTTGCAGATGACATGATAGTGTACATAGAAAACCTTATAGAATCCACCAAAAAAACTACTCAACTCAACCTAATAAATGAATTTGACAAAACAGCAGGATACAATGTCAATATTCAGAAATTGAAGGCACTTTTATACACCAACAATGAAATATCTGGAACAGAAATTAAGGGGAAAAAACAATTTACTATAGCAATGAGAAAAATGAAGTACTTAGGAATAAACCTAACCGAGGAGGTAAAAGACCTATACTGAGAAAACTACAAAACACTGAAGAAAGAAACTAAAGAAGACAAAAAAAAAAAAATGGAAGCATATACTGTGTTCATGGACTAGAAGATTAACATCATTAAAATGTCCATGCTACACAAAGTAATTTATAGATTCAACACAATCCCTATTAAAATACCAATGACATACTTCACAGGTATAGAACAAACATTTCAAAAATATACATGGAACCATAAATCACCCCGAATAGCCTCAGCAATTTTGAGGTAGAAGAGCACAGCAGGAGGGATCACAATATCTGATATCATACTATATTACAAGGCCACCATAACCAAAACAGTCTGGTAGTGGCATAAGAATAGACACAAAGATCAATGGAACAGAATAGAGAGCGCAGAAATAAAGCTAAGTCTCTAAGGTCAATTAATATTTGATAAAGGGGGCTGTTGCATAAAATGGAGTAAAAATAGCCTCTTCAACAAATGGTGTTGGGAGATCTGGAGAGCAACATGAAAAAAAAAATGAAACTGGGCCACCCATTTACACCATACACCAAAATAAACTCAAGATGGATAAAAGACAAATATAAGTCATGACACCATAAAAGTCCTAGAGGAGAACATAGGCAGGAAAATTTCAGATATTCCATGTGGTAATATTTTCACCGATATGTCCCTTAGGGAAAGAATAAACAAATGGGACCACATCAAATTAAAAAGCTTCTGCACAGCTAAAGAAAACATCAGCAAAATGAAAAGGGAGCCAATATCTTTGTCAATGATACATTGGAAAAAGTTTTGGTGTCCAAAATATATAAAAAACTCACATGACCCCACACCAAGAACAAAACCAACACAATTCAAAAATGGGAAAAAGACCTGAACAGACACTTCTCCAAAAAGGGCATACAGAAGGCCCATAGACATATTAAATGCAATATGAAAGCATGCTCAACATCCCTAGCCATCAGAGAGATGCAAATTAAAACACAATGAGATACTACTCCCCACGAGTCAAAATAGCCATCATTGACAGGTCAACAAACAACAAGTACTGATGAGGATGTGCAGAAAAGGGAACCCTAGTGCACTGTTGGTGGGAATGCAGACTGGTGCTACCAGTGTAGAAAACAGTATGGAACTTCTTAAAAAAACTAAAAATTGTTCTGCCTTGACCCAGTTATTCTACTGCTGGGATTATACCCTAAGAATCCTGAATCACCAATTCAAAAGAACCTATGCACCGCAATGTTCATAGCGGCATTACGTACAATAGCCAAATGCTGGAAACAGCCTAAGTGCCCGTCAGTAAATGAGTGGATCCAAAAATTGTGGTACATTTAACAATGGAATACTATGCAGCAGAAAGAAAGAAGGAACTCCTACCCTTCACGACAGCATGGATGGAACTGGAAAGCATTATGCTAAGCAAAATAAGCCAGGGGGTATAAGGCACACACCATATGATTTCACCTATAAGTGGAACCTAATCAAAAAAACAAACAAACAAGCAAAGTAGAACCAGAAACATGGAAATAAAGAACAAACAGATAGTAACCAGAGGGGATGGTGGAGGGGGATAACAGGGGAAAGAAGGGGAAGGGCCAAGTTAAGTAACGTACATAAAGGACCCACGGACAAGGACAAAGGGGTGGGGATTGACTGTTGGGGGGGTGTGGGCAGGGGAGTGTAATGGGAAAAATTGGGACAACTATAATTGAACAACGATTTAACAAAGGAATAAAAGCAGGAATTGAAGAAGAGAGCAACTATGTCATAATGAAGATCAACATAGCCAAAAATTGGTTTTTGAAAAGATTATGATAAAATAGACAAAAATCTCTGCTGAAACTGATCAAGAGGAAAAGAGATGATGCAGACACACAAATGTGTTAACAATGAGAAAAAAGATCTAGCACAGTGCATCAGAGACCAAAAAAGTAAGAGAATAAACATAACTTTATACCTATTAAATTTAACTTAGATAAAATAAATAC